TTTCACCATGTTGACCAGGATGGTCTCGATCTCTTGACCTTGTGATCCACCCGCCTCGGCCTCCCAAAGTGCTGGGATTACAGGCTTGAGCCACCGCGCCCGGCCTTAATTTTTGTATTTTTTAGTAGAGACAGCGTTTCACCGTGTTGGCCAGGATGGTCTTGATCTCTTGACCTCGTGATCCGCCCACCTTGGCCTCCCGAGGTGGGATTACAGGCGTTAGCCACCACTCCCAGCGTATTTTTCAAGTGTGGGAACTTACCAGAAGAAATGTTTCCAATAATCAATTAACATTTTTACAATATGTGTCCACCAAGTAAAGAGCTGAGGTGAATGAAGGCTGTGAGGCCACATACATAATCAAGGCTGCTAGTCACTACAGGTATTACCGTGACACTAATTAACACTTTGATTCAGTTGGATCCATTCTGGGACCAAAACTTATAACTGAGTAAAGGTTCAGAGACCATCTCTGTTTGTAAATAGTATTTTGTAAGCTATTTTGTGTCTATGAAATACTTTGTAAACATTTTCTATATTCTTCTACATAACTGTTCTTGGTAGCCTTACTTTTTGTAAACGTACTGTGTGAATATGGCATAAATTGCATAACCTATGCATTCCCTATATTCCCTTTATTTCACATTTAGTTTGCTTCCAACTTTTATAAACTGAAAACAACATTAGTAAAAAACAAAAGGCAGCATCCCCCTCCCCACCTCTCAGCCCAATAAATAAATGTATTTTCTTTCCGACTAACTAGTTATCTGCCACCCAAGCCTTATCTAAAAAGGAATGCTTAGATGACCCAGGACCGTTTCCTCACTTAACTCTTCTGAGCCTTAGTTTCCTTATGAGCAACAAGAAAAGGCTCTGGGATCAGCAACAGAACTTAGTTTCCCCACTCCAAATCCAGGTTCTTTCACTGTGCCTGCTTCTCTCCTCCCACTGCAAATCAGTAAACTGGCACAGTAGTTTATGAAGCAGTCTTTTGTAAGGTTAAATGCCGGGATATGACAACTGCTATGGATTTAAAAGTGTTGCCTCCAAAATCCAGGTGTTGCAATGTGATAGTATTAAGAGGTAGGGCCTTTAAGAGGTGGTTAGTTCATGAGAGCTTTTCCCTCATGAATAGGATTGAGGTCTTTATTTTTTTAAAAAAAGCGTCATGCAGCATTTGGACAGCTTGCTCTTCTGTTCCCTCTTGCCCGTCCACCTTCTGTCATGTGAGGATGCAGTCAGTTAATAGGGCTCTTGCCAAATGCTGGCACCTTGATCTTGGACTTCCCAGCCTCCACAACAGTGAGAAATAAATTTCCGCTCATATGAATTAGCCAGTCTGTGAAAAACAGACCAAGACAAACTCTCAGAAGGAGATACTGTTAAAAGTCCCTACAAAGAAGGCAAAGGACACCAGGGATAGAGGGGCCCCACCAGGGGACAGCAACCTTTGAGACTGGGCTAATATATAGACAGTGAGCATATCTACATTAAAACTCCAAAAACTGCAACTTTTAGGCCAGTAAATATAGAATTCATATCTAAGACTTTCCTCCAAATGACCTCTAAATTTATTAATTGATTTATTATAGGACAAGGACCAAACTTAAACTATCATCAGAGAAATTAACATATGTGGTCTCATCAATGAATAAACCTTTACCAAGTCAGTAAGAAGAAGGGTATTTCACATTACACTGGCTCCTCAGAAAAAAGGGCCAATCTAGGCTACAATATTTCTCATCCACTATGCCAGAATGATTTGAGAAATCCAGAGAAAGGAATAAAAGCACGTGTATTAAGCTCAAAAGCAGGACAAAGACAAGACAGACTGGAGGTAATATTCAATAGCATGTAATTGGTCTCCTCATGACCCCATGTGAACTATCAAATTTTTTCAACAGGTAAATTGGGGGAGGGGTACAACATGTCTGATATATCTATTATTGCGCAAAGAATAATTATAATAAGATTATTTTTTAAAAGAAATTGTCCCTTTGAAGATGATCAAAAGAGAGTTGAAACACTTCCAAAATAAAATGCATTTTCTTGGGGTAGAGTTCTTATTCACCAGATTTTAGTAAACCTCTCTCCTATACAAAGGACAGAAAGAAGAAGTTAGGCCATATTAAGTACTACTTCTGTCTTCCACAAAATGTTCATTTAATGCTGCAGAAATCAAACTCAAAAAAAGGTTTCAATTTAATTGACTCTATATAGGCCTAAACTAATATTTTTTTTAAAAAGAGTTATGAAGAAAGGATGAATATGTGGAACAGAGAATTTTTAGGGCAGTGAAACTACTCTGTGTGATACTATAACAGTAAATATCATGGTTTTGTACATTTGTCCAAACCTACAGAATGTATACCACCAAGACAGAACCCGAATGTCAACTATGGGCTTTGGTGATAATGACGTATCAATGTAGGTTCATCAGCTGCGACAACTGTGCCGCTCTGGTGGGGTATGCTGATAATGGGGGAAGCTGTGCGTGTGTGGGGACACATGTATGGGAAACAGCTGTAGTTTCTGTTCAATTTTGTGGTGAATCTAAAATTACTCTAAAAAATAATGTCTGTTTAAAAAGAAGGGGTTATATAAAAACTAAGGCTACACTGTGAGTTTACCTCTGACAAGGTCTTATGCAGCAGAGAGCTTTGGTTTTTCAACCTGTGAGCTTCGTCCACAACAAGAACACTCCAAGAGTATCTGTGAGAGAAAACCCAAGCTTTCAGTTTTGTGTAATTTAAACACATATTTCACAACCTTACTATAAAACCATGACTGTTGTTAAAAAGACTAACAGTAAGCCCATTCTATTACAAATGCAACCAAATTACCTTCCTATCTGAGAGGCTACCATGTGCTTAACACAGTATCTAAATAAGGTAGTAAAACTAAGACAATGTTTTTTTTTTTTTTTTTTTTACAAAATGGGAAAAACCTATGCAGAAAGGAAGAAGCCAGAGACGGAAAGGAAAAGGAAGCATTTATGATCTTCTACTTTGCGGTAGACACTGACCTCAGGGCTTTATGTGTTATTTAGTCCAAAAGAGCACAGCAAACAGACAATTGTGGTCGTTTTACTAACAAAGACACTAAAGCTCAGACTTGGTGAAGGTCATAAAGACAGAGGTAACGTTCAAGCACAGAAGAAAAAATCAAGAGACAGTGATGGTGTAGCAACTTAAGAAGTGTGACTTTAAAATGGGGAAGTGGTAAATAGGGTCAAATGTTACAGAGATGTCCAGAAAGACATATCCACCGAATTTGATGACATGGATGTCATTGGTGGCTGTTGCCAGAACACATTCTGTAACATAGTGGGTCACATCAGCAATTTCTCAAGAAGTTTCAGTCAGAAAAGCAAGTACGTTGACAAACACTACTGGAAAGCTACTTAAAAAAACAAAATACAGAAAAATATGTGGAAATGTTTCAAGTTGTATTATTTAAAACAGCAAAAAATGGAAATGAACCTAAATGTCCAATAATAAGTGGTAAAACATTATATGGCATTTTAAATGATAAATATGATTATATTGCAATGTAAAAGGCCTATACAATAATAAAAAAGATATAAATATCATATATCCTCTTTTATAAGTGTGAAAACCATGTAAAAAATAATAAAGTGGAAATCATAAGATGTTTATTTTGATCATAAACATTCTGGAATCCCATTATGTTATTTTCATATTTAAAAAAACTAAATGTATATACAGGTAAAACAGAATATTGGAAAAATAGTAGGTATGGAAATGAAAATTCCCCCCAAATTAGAGAAAGATCAGCAGAGGTTCACCTTATAAGAAGGCCCTCTTCCTGAGGCTACAGATAAACTCCAGAGGACAGGCGGAAAAACAGGTGCCTACTATACTACCATTCACCTACCGACAGGACTGTGTGGAGGGAGGACTGAGGGTCCAAACAGAGACAAGGAAGCCGAAGGAAAAGGCTGGGTGGCATGAGCAGAGGATGCATTTAAGGATGGTAAGAAACAAGCGTCCAGACAAAGTTGCACAGTGGTCATGAGATAAGGTTTGGAAATTTCTCTAGTATGGTGCCTGGCTCTGTTTGAATTAGCTTTCAAAACAGATTAGGTCCTATTCCCTTGTGAAGAACTAGACACTCAGGTGTCTAATAAATGCTTGTCTAATGAAACAGGCTACGGAGAGGTAGATTTTGGCTCGTGAAAGGAAGTGGGTCAAATCACTCATCAAAAGATGCTCTAAAGGGTGCTCCCTAAAGAGGAAACGATGGAGGAAATCCCAACACTGAATGGAAAGTCTGATGAGGTGGCCTCTAATCCTCTTGATCCAAACTGTTTTACAAGTCTATTGCCCAAAACATTTCAAATTTTTCATATTTGTAACATACACAGCCTTAACTCTCCATAATAAATCTCTTTAGTGCAAAGATGATATTACACTTCCCTGCTATTCTCAGAGTGTACAGTAATAAGCAATATAACCTTCCAAATATATTGAAAGAATATGTCTATGCTGTTGGGATTCATATAAGATAGCATGATAAATGTCCTACTGTTACTTAGGTTCTTAAATCTACCAGAACATGCATTGAAAACAGGTTATCTCAACTAGAAAAATTCTATTTCTGCTGAAAAATGTAAAACTCCAGTACAACTAGGTATTTTCAGAAGCTCTCTCAAAAAGGGGCTCCACAGCACCAAATGCTGGGTTTAAATGCAAGCTTTGCTATTTATCATCAGCAATATTACCTTGGATGGATTACTGAATCTCTTACTTTCCTCACCCATAAAATGGTTGATAACAGCTGCCTTGTAGGGTTTTCATGATTAAATGGGATAATTTATGTAAAGTACGCAACAACATTTATGTCCTGATTTTATTGTCTTTTGAGACTTCGCATATCTTCCTCTGTATTATGGAGATCTGTACACTTCTTAGCCCTCCAATGGAGTTCCCGTTTTCCTAGGGTAGCTCCAAGATTTACTTTCCTGATATTGCCAGTAACTCTCAAACAGTGTCTTTCCTGTAAGTGACTTTCAACAAATATTAAGGTGAATATTAATAAAAAGGGAGGGAATGTATATCTTAAGAAAGGTAATGATAATATTCTCACTTAAATGAAATACTAAGATAGAAGTCATGAAATCTATGACCTAGCCTCTAGTATTCAGAATAACAAGAAAATAGAAATCCAACTAATGGGAATCTGGATGAGAAATAACATCTAAAATATTAATACTTTGGGAAAACAAGAATTTTTGAATATTAAAGATGCAAGCTGGGCGCAGTGGCTCATGCCTATAATCCCAGCACCTTGGGAGGCTGAGGCAGGCAGATCACCTGAGGTCAGGAGTTCAAGACCAGGCTGGCCAGCATAGTAAAACCCTGTCTCTACTAAAAATACAAAAAATTAACGTGGTCATGGTAGCAGGCACCTGTAATCCCAGCTACTTGGGAGGCTAAGGCAGGGAATCACTTGAACCTGGGAGGCAGAGGTTGCAGTGAGCTGAGATCATTCCACTGCACTCCAAGCCTGGGTGACAGAGCGAGACTCCATCTTAGAAAAAAAAGAAAAGATGCAGAATATCCACCTCACCATGTAATAACTACAGAGGTTATGGAGAACGAAACCCTGCCAACATATCTGTCTTTCTTACCTAAACTCTAGCCCTTGTTTAATTTGCATTATCACTGTTACTGTGACGTGATCATGTCATTCCCATTGCCAGGTGGTTTTAAGAGTTAAATCTGAGTTTCCGATTCCATGGGCCAATATGAGCTCTAAAAGTTAACTAATTAGAAGTATATTTAAAACACTCTTTCTAAAAAGTTAATTCCATAGCACTTATTACTACTTTAGGTTATTTCCAGCAAACAGCTCAAGTGATTCTCCTCCTATATTACAGTAAAATCTCCAAATGTTAGTACTGAAAGGGGTCTATGCAAGTCGCATGTAAAAAGCCTAATATCCATTAACCATACAAAGTATGTTTAATCTCATTTAATTTTCTAACAGCTACTTGAGGTTAAGAAATAATTATCCCCATTTTACAGATGAAGCAGCTGAAGTTGATGGAGATTAAATAACTAACCCAAGGACACAAATCTAATGAGCAGAGGGCTGTAACACAGGACCCCCACCATGCCGCCTATCCATAAACGGAACTCATGGAAGACATACCAGACATGCCAGGAGAGGCAAAGCACTAAAATGTGCAGGAAAGACATGACATGCACGATACATTCAATGCAAGTTCTCAAACAGTACTCACGATTTTAGAAATGAGGCATCTTTCAAGCAAATCTGAAAAATTAGGAAGACACAATATAAAACACAAAGGCTGGCATTGATAAACTCTGATATTGATAAACTAGTTTTCTGTGAACTCTCTTAAACTACAGGATTTATCTAAGTGTCATTTGTTCACTAAGGAAAAAAAGTTCTGAGAATAATTTCTAAGTAGTACCATCTTAAAAACAAAGAGAAGAAAAGCCTGATTAAGTGGAAGGTCAGCAGCACACTGTCTTAAACTAAAGAACAAGCACTTAAGCCAGAACTGTCTTCCGTTCCTATCCTCCAGTAACAGACCTGACTTCTCAGTCCACAAAACCCTTTCCCCTGCCTGCCGGCCTGCCTCCTGTTCATTAACCAAGAGGCAGCTCAAGTGCCTCCTTCTTGAGAAGCCTTCACCCTTAACCCACCAGGAAAGGAAAAGATCCAATTAATTTGAAGCACAATGTTACTTCACTTCTTGAGGTCACAGCCCTCTTTTAAGAATCTGATGAAGGTAGACTCCCTGCCCAGAAAAGTGTGTGTGTTCTCAACAAAACTTAAATATAATTTCATCAGACTCTACAACTTCTAAGGTCACAGGTTAGAAGTTGTTGCTATAGAGAAACGAATGGATACCTCATAGGTAGTCAGTAGCACATGAAAACATGAGTCCTGTTTCAGGTCTTGCTGAAGGTGGGCTCTTTCCTCCTTGTCACCTGCGTATGTTACACAGGAAAGACCTGGAGCAAATCTGAATCCAAGAAAAGAAGTAGATGAACATAAACAGTAGATTCATGTTACAGGATATACATACCTGGAAAAGTACATTTCATGGGAGGATTACATTCACATGCAGACCTCGTGAGGTCCTATAACCAGAGTCTAAGGGCTCTGAATCTTATCTAAAGTAATGGTTGAACCTCAGAGCAAGTTCCTATGTGAATAGGTAGAAGGATCAGATCTAAAAAGGTCTTGTGCTGACTCTAAAAATAAATTGATCTCTTCCACATTAGTTACTTCCTATGCCACTACAAAAAGCAACGGCTTCTACTATAGTTCATCAATACGATAAATGATTACTGACCTTCAAATTGCCAAACAGTAATAATATTCACTGGGCCCTTCCCATTACATCCTCAGTGTCTACCTACACTGCATCAGTTCACAGTTTTCTTTCCTTTCTTTCTTTCTTTTTTTGAGATGGAGTTTCACTTTTGTTGCCTAGTCTGGAGTGCAATGGTACGATCTTGGCTCACTGCAACCTATGCCTCCTGGGTTCAAGTCATTCTCCTGCCTCAGTTTCCTAAGTAGCTGAGAATACAGGCATGCACCACCACGCCCCAGCTAATTCTGTATTTTTAGTAGAGATGGGGTTTCTCCATATTGGTCAGGCTGGTCTTGAACTCCTGACCTCAGGTGATCTGCCCGCCTCAGCCTCCCAAAGTGCTGGGATTACAAGTGTGAGCCACTGTGCCCAGCCACAGTTCACAGTTTTCTGGAATAAACTTGCTGATTATAACAACAGGTTCTTTTATCACATTTCACACATCATCCAGAAAAAAAACTTAATCAAGATATACAATAAAATTGCAGCTACATCGACTCTGTACCTCTCCATTTCTTCTTTCCAGTTGCTCAAAACAGACAGGGGACAAAGAATCAGAAATGGTCCTTCATCATTTAATCTTCCTGCTAAGTAAATGAAGAGAGCAATCGTCTGGAACACAGAAAAAGAAGGCAGTTTTGATCGCATTTTCCCATGAGAAACAACCACGAAGTTCCCACAACCCTTTAGGGAACACACACTCTTGTATAAAACTTGTTTTACAAAGAAATATCGTACAATCTTCCGCACATTAGGAGAGTAATCCATTCGTGGAGTGAAATCATGTAAGCCTTAATATACTTGCCACAGATATTTATGGAACTCAATTACTTCAGTATTTAACAAGCAATGAGGCTCAATGTTTAGGTAATTGAACCTTTACTGTAAAGAAAAAGTCAGGAAAGACAACAGAAATCAATGAAAATCCAACTGATGGCCAACATCAGCAATACTCTGAAAATATTAAGCAAGAAGTGCCATGATATGACTGCAAAACAGCCAATCACATGGCAGCCCTCTGCTCCCTACCAGGCTTTCCTGAGGGAGGATGCTTTTCTGCCTCCCTCACTTCCTCCCACCTTCCCCTACTGTTTTCCTTTCTTCCATATGTATTTACAGGGTGTCTTCTATTTGCTAGGCACTGTTCTACACTCCAGTTACTCAACAGTGAACAAAACAAACAAAACACCCAGCTCTCCTGGAGGACACAATCTAATGGGGAAAACAGACAATACATGATCCTCCTAAGCTTAGGGAAGGGTAGAAAACGGAACTTTGGTAAAGGCAAATGGACGTACTTGAGAAGATTCTAGTACACATTTATGATTTGAATGTCGCTGTAACATACAGAGAAAATAACCTATTTTAAAACAAGAATGCGTCAAGAGACTCCATCTTCAAATGCTGAGCTATTTCTGAGAAAAATCTGTCCTAAGGATATAATTCAAAATCCTGAGAAAACTATATGCACAAAGATGTTCCTATCAAGATCAAATAGCACAAAAAAGGGAGGAATCACCATTTCTCAACTGTAGAACATTTAATTTTGATAAATTCTCTTGATGTAATAACATACAATATTGAGAATAACTATGAATATAATAAAGTAAAAAATTACAGTGACACTGTTAGATTAACAAATACAAACTATATACACACTATAATTTCAACCATGGGATGGGTACAGTGGCTCACACCTATAATCCCAGCACTCTGGGAGGCTGAGGTAGGAGGATCACTTGTTCCCGTAAGTTCAAGGCCAGCCTAGACAATATAGGGAGACCTTATCTCTACAAAAAATGTACGAATAAGCTGTGCGTGGTGGCATGCACCTGTAGTACCACCTACTTGGGAGACTAAGGACTGCTTGAGCCTGGGAGGCAGAGGTTGCAGTGTGCTGAGATCATGCCACTGCATTCCAGCGTGGGTGATGGGGCAAGACCTTGTCTCAAAAATAAAAGAAACCAAAAATTCAGTCATGCAAAACATGCATTGCTATTCATGGTTGTGGTTAGAGTGCTTCATTATAGGGTGGCAGTTAATTTTTATAACAGAAATAATTTTCTTTTTAAATTATCTATGGCTTCTCAGTCCAAATGGTGCCCAGAACCATTCTTTAGTAAGCGACTTACTGAATTAAAACCATTCAGTCTAGCTTTCCTGAGGATGCAATCTAGAGAAAATTTATCTTTTATTATTATAAACCAGACTGTCTGCAAAACAAGTGTGAAGTCACGAGCAAATTCTAGCAAGAATTTAAGGAAAAAATTACAGCAATTCTACATAAATTCTTCTAGAAAACTGAAGGGAAGGGCATACTTCTCAACTCACTCTATGAGGGCAGCTTTACTCCAATACTGAAGTCAGATAATGACATTACAAGAAAGTTACAAACCAATGTCTTTCATGAACATAGATGCAAAAAGTCTAAACAAAATTTTAGGAAAACAAATTTGGAGGTGGTATCTTTTTAGAGAGCTTAAAGCAGAGCTATGTGAACATCTGAGGAAAGGACAAGTAGCATTTGCTGGCCCTCAATAAAGTCAGGAGGGCAACTGCAATGACTGAGGCAGAGAAGACTACAGGGAAGGCCCTTTCCCAGTGCAAGAGCCAGCCAGCCTGGATCGCAGAGACACCTGTGAAACTGAACTTTGTTCTAGCTTCAGAGTGCTCAGCTGCAGAATGAGTTATAAGGAGGGGCTTCAGTGGCGGTGAGCAGTACTCGCTGCAAAATAACATACCTGGCAGGTCTTCCCCAGGCCCATCTCGTCTCCCAGGATGCAGCCATTCTGACAATGGAAGCGCTGGGCAAGCCAGTTGACTCCCTCCAGTTGATAAGAGCGTAGGTGAATCCCTAGAAACAAAAAATACAGCAAATCTGAACAGCAGACATTTTAGCACATGCATAGGCAATGTTCTAAGAGTCCGAATGAGGAACGCAGCCTAAATTCACGTAACTCCAGACCTCACTGGCCATATCCTTTGCTGAGGAGTATGGATATCTAAACCTCTCCTGACTTCCAAACTACTTTTTGAGCAGATGTGTTCACCATTATATTCAAAGTCCCAAAGGAGCCTGTCAGTTAGCTGATTCACTTGATAGATGCGGAAGTCAACTTGGGATCTGGCCTCTGTACTGCCTGAGACTCACACCAGTGTCCATTCTGGGAAATAAGGCATTACTGATGCAAATTAACAACAAGCAACAACACATAGATTGTACATGTGTCTGCTTGCTTCACTGCATCCATTTAAATCTGCCATCAGTGCTAAAGGGAAAAACTCAGGACTATGCTAAATAATGCTTCAACACAGAAGGACTGTTTTTAAGAATGGAAAGGGTGTTTGTGTATAGGGATGGCAAAAAACATGAAATCCACATGGAGCTTCTACTGATTCTCTCTCCCTTGGAGAGAAAAAAACCAGTTTCAAAGAATAGCCATATCTTACAAAGGTGAAAGACCATTAGCATACTTTATATAAGAACTATTAGCAAAAATAGAACTTTCTGGTTTAACTTATAGCTTTAAAAATCTTCAAAATATATAATTGTACAACATTTTTTTAAAAATAGGTATTTTTTCATGGGCACTTAAAAATACCAGAGTAGTAGTAAACACTTTACATAAATTACAGTATCTCAGGCTGGGGGCGGTGGCTCACACCTGTAATCTCAGCACTTTCGGAGGTCGAGGTAGGCGATCACCTGAGGTTGGAAGTTCAAGACCAGCCTGGCCAACTTGGTGAAACCCATCTCTACTTAATAAGACAAAAATTAGCTGGGCAGGGTGGTGGGTGCCTGTAATCCCAGCTACTTGGGAGGCTGAGGCAGGGAGAATTGCTTGAACCTGGGAGGCGGAGGTTACAGGGAGTTGAGAATGCGCCACTGTGCTCCAGCCTTGGTGACAGAGCGAGACTCTATCTCAAAAAAAAAAAAAATAAATTACAGTATCTCATTTAATGCTTATAACAATTCTACAGAGTAGATGTTATCCCCATTTTATAAATTAGAAAACTCAGAGATTTCTATTTCTGATGGGAGTATACATACTTTCCTCTATTCCTACTGCTAAGCAGAAATAAAAACCCTAGACATGATAGATAAAGCAAGCATAAGACTCTGAAAGGTGTAGTGAAGAAGCAGATTGGCTAGGGACCTTGGGACCTGAGGAAGGACAGGGTAGTGAGTTTCCCGGAATTTATTTTTGCCTTATATAGCCCAGTCTGAGAGGTCAAGAAATCCGCAAATGGGAAACACCAACAGGTGTAGACCAAAACGAAAACAAATCAGAACACCCCCTGTATCAGTCTGTTAATAAAGACATGCTGATAATAAGTACATACCTGAGATTGGGTAATTTATAAAGAAAAGAGGTTTACTTGACTCATTGTTCCACATGGATGGGGAGGCCTGACAATCATGGTGGAAGGCAAATGAGGAGCAAAGTCCCATCTTACATGGCAAGTGAGCTTGTGCAGAGAACTCCCACTTATAAAACCATCAGATCTTGTGAGATTTATTCACTACCATGAGAATAATATGGGAGAACTGCCCCATAATTCAATTATCTCCACCTGGCCCGTCCTTGACACATGGAGATGATTACAATTCAAGGTGAGATTTGGTTGGGGACATAGCCAAACCATATTAACCACCCTCCCCTCACAAGCCTGCTCCCGCTAGAAAATGGCAGCCTAGCAAGTCAGGAAACTTTTAGATAATAACTGCTATATTCTAGCTAAACACCACAGGAATAAACCTGTGGTCCCACCAGCAAAGGCCAAGTGGGAAGCACTTGGGGAAGCACAAGGGGAAGCTGTAGGCTTCCCCCTACAGCTATAACGAGTGCCCCAGCACCCCAACCAAGGCGGTGTAAGAGAAGGCCAAGTAGGGAGCTGGGATTTGTATCCCTACCAACTACCAACCAGTAATGAGGACCAACCCCTTGGCTTCTCCTGCGGGATCAGTAGAGACTCAGGAGGGAGCCACAACTCCCACCCTCACCCAGCAGGAAGGAGAGGCCCTTTCCCATCCCCAGATATAGACAGAGGCTGAAAGGGGGGCCTGGACTTCTATCCCCACCTAGCAATATCAAGGCAGCAGACCCTCTTCCCCTGCCAGAGCAGTGACAGACAAAGACAGTCAAACAGGAGGTTTAAACATGATACAAAAATGCCTGGCTCCAATTATTATAAAAAATCATTCATTATATCAAGAACTGGGAAGTTGCAAACTGAACGAAAAAAGATAATCAATAGGTGCCAACACCCAGATGACACAGACTATCTGACAAAGACTTCAAAGCAGTAATGATAAAAATGCTTCAACAAGTAGTTATAAACACACGAACAATTGAAAAACCAAAAACCTAAGATAAGAAACAGAAATCTCAGCAATGACATAAAAGATACAAAGAAAGACCAATTGGAAATTTTAAAACTGAAAAATACGATAACCAAAATAAAAGGCTACTGAGGCTATTTATGAGATCAACAGCAGAATGGAAGGAAGTGAAGAAAGAATCTGTAAGACAGAATAGAAGTTATAGAGAAATTACAATCAGAAAAGAATAGAAATTAGAGAGATTACAGTCAGAAAAGAATAGAAATTATAGAGATTACCATCAGAAGAGAGAGAAAACAGACTGAAAACAAATGAACCTCAGGGAACTCCAGGACTACCACAAAAGATCTAACATTTGTTCAATGGTGTCCAATAAAAAAAAAAAAAGAGAGAGACGGAGGAAAGGGCTGAAAAAGTACTTAAAGAAATAACAGCTGAAAAATTCCCAAAATTGGCTAAAGACCTACAGTTCCAAGAAACTGAGTAAACCTCAAACATAAAAAAATCCTGCCAGGCGCAGTGGCTCACACCTGCAATCCTAGCACTTTGGGAGACCGAGATGGGTAGATCACGAGGTTGAGATTGAGATCATTCTGGCCAACATGGAGAAACCCCATCATTACCAAAAATACAAAAATTAGCTGGGTTTGGTGGCATGTGCCTGTAGTCCCAGCTACTCGGGAGACTGAGGGAGGAGAATCGCTTGAACTTGGAGGTGGAGGTTGCAGTGAGCCGAGATCAAGCCACTGCACTCTAGCCTGGCAACACTTGGTAACTCCATCTCAAAAAAAAAACAAAACAAAGAAATACATACTAAGATATGTAATTATTTAAATGCTGAAAACAAAAGACAAATAAAATATCTTAAATGCAGCCAGAAAAGAAACAAACACCTTACTTAAAGAGGGAAAAAACTATTCAAATGCAAGCAGATTTCTTGTCAGAAATCTTAAAGGCCAGAAAGAAATGGCACAACGTTTTTTTTTTTTTTTCAAGTATTGAAAGAAAAGAACTGTCAACCCCGACTCCTGTAATCAAGAAAACTAGTATTCAGGAACCAAGAGGAAATTCCCAGATGAAGGAAAACAGAGTATTTATCACCAACAAGCCTACCCTCAAAGAACGGCTGAAGGAATTCCTTGGAAAAAGGGAAATGATAAAAGATGGAATCTTGGAACATCAGGAATAATGTGAGAATGTAACATTCTTGAGTTTTAAAATTATGTTTGACAGCTGAAGTAAAGATTGTAACAGTGTCTGATGTGGTTCTAAAGGCAAATAAAGGAAATACTTAAGACAATTATAAATAGAAGGTAAAGAGATATAAAGGGAAGTAAGGTTTCCATACTTTACTCAACTAGGTAAAATGACAATATCAGTAGGCTGTGATTTTATACACACATGTACATTAATATACAATACCTGTCACAACCATTAAAAAGCTATACAAAGAGATAAACTAAAAAACACTGTAAATAAACAAAAATAAAATTCTAAAAAATGTTCAAATAATTCACAAGAAGGCAAGAAAAACAGATAAACTAAAATAATAAAAATAAGATGGCAGACTTAAGCTCAAGCATATTACATGAAATATAAATCATATATCAATTAAAAGACAAAGACTTCGAGTGGATTTTAAAACATAACCTAATTATAAATTGTCTACAAGAAATTCAACCCAAAAATAATTAGTTAAACGATTGAAAAGTAAAAGGATGAAGTGGTAGATAAAACAGTGGCCCTCACAAAGATGTCCACACCCCGCTCCTGGAATCAGTAAGTTACCTTACATGGCAAAAGGCATTCTGAAGATATAAATAAGGTTAAGGATCTAGAAATGGGAAGAGTATTCTGAATTATCCAGGTCGGCCTGGATAATGCAATGGACATGCAATCTAATCATGCATCATTCGGAGAACCTTTAACAGCTGTGGTTAGACACAAAGCTGACTAGAAAAGGATCAAAGAGATGAAATGTCCTGGCTTTGAAGTTGGAGGAAAGCAGCCAGGAATCAAGGAATGTGGGCAGCCTCTGGATGCTGGGAAATATATTCTCTCCTAGAGTCTCCAGAAAGGAATGCAGCTCTGCTGATACCCAATGATAGAAGAATACACGTTCTTTTCAAGGGCCATGGACCATACAACACATTCAGGGCCTGTCTTAGTCCATTCAGTGTTGCTTTGGAACACCTGAGGCTGGATAATTTATAAAGAAAAGAGGTTCATTTGGCTCATGGTTCTACAGACTGTATAAGAAGCATGGCACCAACATCTGCTTCAGGTGAGGGCTTCAGACTGCTTCCACTAATGGCAGGAGAAGTGGGGCTGGCTCGTATAGAGATCACGTGGTGAGAGAAGGAGAAAGAGATAGGGGATATCAGGCTCTTTTTAACAATCAGCTCTCTAGAAACTGATACATAAGAAGTGACTCACTCTCTCTGCTCCCTGCTAGGGAGAGTATTAATCTATTCAGAAGGGATGTGCCCCCAAGGCCCAAACACCTTTCTTTGGCCCCACCTCCAACACTTGGGATCAAATTTCAACATGAGATTTGGTGAGGACAAATAATCCATATCCAAATTACAGCACGGCCAGAAAACCTCAACACATTTAAAAGAAGTGAAATTGTACAGAGTATGTTCTCTGAACACAATGGAATGAAATTAGAATTCATGGACAGAAACATTAGAGATACTGTAAATTTCTCAACACTTGGAACCTAGACAACACATTTCTAAACAGTCCATCAAAAGAGGAAGTCTCCAGGGAAATAAATACACTGAACTAAATAAAAAAATGAAAATACAACATCAAAATTTGTCGGACAAAAAAAGTAGATCACGGACTTAAATATAAAACTGTAAAACTTAGAAAAAAACTCTTTAGGATCTGGGAGTAGGCAATGAGTTCTTATATTTGACATCAAACAAAAAAACTATCCACAAGAGAAAAAAATGATAAATTGATAAATTTTAGCCAAAATGTAAAACTTTTGTAAGACACAAATTTGGAGAAATAAGCAAAAATTTTGCATACTTTTTATTCTAGAAAGGCTACCTTTCAGGAATTAAAAGTCCATAGCTATAATAAATATTTGGTTATAAGGATATTGAGAACATGATAACAGTAAAGAGATTCTTGAGATTAAAATTTATTTTCTTTATGCATAGGCTATTTCCCTAAATGTTTTACAGAGAATATGTACTATTTCTGTAACCAAAAGAAAAAAAAAGCAGTAAGAATTTTTGTAACCAACTCATGAAGAATAGTTTCTCATAATATTAATTTATTCTGGTAAACAGATATAGGATTTACAAGTTACAATATTCAGTAGCTATTCCTTTGGCTACGCTTTTCTATTTTTCTTTCTCTCCACTACCAATTTATCCCAGTTGCCACATTTGCCTACTTAATTCTGCATTTACCACCTCCGCTCCATCCACTCAAACTTGTAACCTCTTGTCTCATTTTCACTAAAACACCCGCCCATATATGTACCTTTCTCCTGGCTATTACCTACAGCTAAGTATCAAATGGCACACTTTTCTGAGCCTTCTCTCACACAAGTTCTTAAAAAACCATTCCTAACACTTGCAAAGAAATAGGCAAACACACAAACATAAACTTTAGTCAAGATAAAGTCAAACAGGGCCGGGCGCGGTGGCTCAAGCCTGTAATCCCAGCACTGTGAGAGGCCGAGGCGGGTGGATCACGAGGTCAAGAAATCGAGACCATCCTGGTCAACATGGTGAAACCCCGTCTCTACTAAAAATACAAAAAATTAGCTGGGCATGGTGGCGCATGCCTGTAATCCCAGCTACTCAGGAGGCTGAGGCAGGAGAATTGCCTGAACCCAGGAGGCGGAGGTTGCGGTGAGCCGAGATCGCGCCATTGCACTCCAGCCTGGGTAACAAGAGTGAAACTCCGTCTCAAAAAAAAAAAAAAAAAAAAAAGATAAAGTCAAACATAAAAAGACCAGTCTAAAGCTCATACTTAAATTGGATACATACTCCTTACAGCCACGGACACATTCTTAGACTCCGGGAATCAAGGAGAGAGGCTTTCTCTTTCACGTCTGCATTCTCTCGACTCAACTTCATCCTTCTCTCTTCTAAGTTAAACACAGAACTGCATCTTTTGCTTCATTACTAGAATGACAAACCTCACTCTTTCGTGGTGTTGAGCACTTAAACAAATTATAATTTATACTTTTAAATGAACTCTCACTCACTAGTCCAAAACTCTAGGTAGGAAGGTTCCATATTTGTTTTACTCATCTCTGCAGCCAATACCTAAGAATACGCTCCCAGGAGCCTTCAGTAAATCACGAATAAACGACTGTATTATTATTACTGATGCACGATTCTGTTAATACAGTCAAGACCCGCACTACGTTCCCCACTTTGCAAATAAGGAAAACGAGGCTGGGTGGGGGGGCTGGGGGTTCAGTGGCAAGTCAGCGCAGATCCGGGAGTAGAGCGGGGTCTCGGGGCTGCAGGAAGCACGCGTCAGCCGCGCCTCGGCGGGGCTGGGGGGCGTGCAAGGTTCGCGCTTTGCAGACTCTCCGAAAGGGCCAGTGTCAATAAATCGAGTTACGTGCGGTAGTGAGCGGACAAACTTAGCCAGTCCGCTCACTATCGCACATAACTCGATTGGGGAAGAATTCATCAGTGGCGAATTTTCCAGTAATTGCGCGCGCACAGTAAACAGAGAAGAAGAGACTGGGAGATGCGTTGAGCGCTTTACAAAAGCAACCAACAAGCCCCACAGGCGAGGACCCAACCTCACGGTAACAGCAACTCTAAACTTACATCCCCGGTGCGCCCGGCCTTCCGACTGTTCCTCGGAGGCCTGCAGGGGGCGCTGCCCTTACCACGTTTCCCCTTCCACAGGCCTGGGACCGGACCTCATTCGTCCCGCGTCCGCCGGCCCGCCCACCGCGCCAGCAGGGTCCGCGGCCACCCAGCCGGGGAGCGGTTTCTCCCCGCCCACGGCAGGAACGCAGGAAGGCCCTGTCGCCGGCTGGTAAACAAATCACCGGGCGGCCCCCTGCTGCGCCCCCGGCCCGCGAGAGGCAGACCCAACGGGTTGGCCCGCCTGGGCGAAGCCCGCCCGGAGCCTGCTCACCTGTCAGCCCCCACTGCTGTAAATCCTGCTCCTGCACCCGCGCCCGCGGTGCCTCGGCTCGGCCCTCAGTCTGAAACCGAAGTAAGAAACCGGGCGCTCGACCCCCACTACCAGCAGCGCCCTCCATCAGGCCGGGAGAGGCCCCGCCCTGCGCGGGCCTGCGCGCCTTTGCTTCAGGCTCTCGCGACGGGCTGGGGCGGGCGGGGGCGCGCGGGGCGGGCGGGGGCGCGCTGGGGCGGGCGGGGGCGCGCGGGGCGGGCGGGGGCGCGCGGGGCGGGCGGCGGCGCGCTGGGGCCCGCCTGCGAGCGAGGCGCCGCCAGAGGGCGCGTCCTTCGTCGACGTCTGCAGCGGAGATGGTGCAGTTAGCCTCCGGCCCTGGCAGTTCTTGCAGCGCGGTGCGTGGAAGGGCCACCCGGTTCTCACCAGGTGTGCTTCTGAAGCGCTAGGCATCCAATTGCCTGAACTGACCGTCACGGAGGTGGCATGTGCTCATCATGCATTTATTATCTACTCAACATCGACTGTCACTTGTCAGATACTCCGCTGGACCATGAGGCTTGCAGAAGTGGGTAAGACTTTGTCGGTGCGCTCCAGTGATTCACGACAGGTCAAACCGTGCTTGTTGGGCTTACATAGTGGTAAACTGGTTTAGACCGTGAAATCCCTTTCTTCTTTTTCTTTCCTTTTTTTTTTTTTGAAACGGAGTCTTGCTGTGTCGCCAGGCTGGAGCACAGTGGCGCAGTCTCGGCTCACTGCAACCTCCGCCTCCCGGGTTCTAGCGATTCTTCCGCCTCAGCCTCGCGAGTAGCTGGGACCACAGGCGCGTGCCAAACGCCCAGCTAATTTTTTGTATTTTTAGTAGACACGGGGTTTCACCATGTTGGCCAGGATGGTCTCGACTTCTTGACTTCGCGATCCACCCGCCTCGGCCTCCCAAAGTGCTGGGATTACAGGCGTGAGCCACCGCGCCCGGCCGAAATCCCTTTCTTATTCCCTGTGACCTGTAGGCCAAAATTGGGAACCTGTGAATAGTAGTAAATTAAAATCACCAAAGACGTCATTGCTGCAGTGGGTATCTCGAGTGCATTACGGGGAGCAGATTGATGCAGTGTGTTCAGTTAGGGGTCACTGTGACTCAGCATCAGGTTTGAGTGGATTTATGATGTAATGCACCATTAATATAAAGATGATAATAACAAAATAGGTGCATTTGTTTATGAAGTTCTAGGTGGTATCCTAAGAGCTTTAAGTATATTTTCTTATTTAACTCTCATAATAACCAATAATTAGGTATTATAATTGTCCCCACATTATAAATGAAGATACTGTGACTTGGAATGGTAATTGACAATACTGGAACAGGAACTATATTATTCTCGGGCTAATGTCATTAGAATAGTATTCTCATTTAGGTTAATAATCTTGGTGCTTCCTTCTTCGATAAACTCATGTTAAATTTGCATTCTCCCTTATTCTCATCTTCCCCTAAGGTAAAAGGGAAAAATTCGTTCTGAGCCACAAAAGGGATGACTTCAGATTGGTTTATTCATAAAAACTCAAGCAAAGCACTGTTTTATAAAGCTATTTTTGTGTCTTGAGTCATCTGTAAATACTGACAGAACCACGTTCTTTGTGCCAAGCACTCTTTATGGTACTGATACCTATCATAACCACATACTATGTGCCAAGCACTCTTTATGGTATCAGTGCCAAGCACTCTTTATGGTATCCATAAAGACCATGGTATTCATAAAGAGTGCTTGGCACAAAGTACGTGGTTATGATAGAGGTCACTAATGTCATGTAGCTTATATTTTAAAAGAAGGAGACAAGCAATAAACAACTAAAAATCAGGATTCGTGCTAACAGTAAAACAGAGTCACATAATGGGGCGATAGTAATTTTGTACAGCAGCTTTCCTGCTTAGGTGTTAAAGCAAATCTGAAGACAGATTTACATCCTTTGGTGGCTTCTTCAGAGGGACCTCTGTCCTATGTGGCTGCTCATGAGTGGTTTTTGCATCTTAGTCTTCATGTTTGATTTATTTCCTCCCCTCTAGATTCTACCAGTAGACTTATCGACTAAAACAGCCATATCAACCACTTGCCGCTTAAATACAAGCCTGTTTATTATTTTCACTTAAAGTACATTTGTTGTAGCAGAATACCAGATGATAGAGTCCTAGCTATAAGCTAAGTAGACTGTTGGTATACTATTTAGGTATACCTAAAATACAGCTAAGAGAGGTGGCTGAGAGACTCCAGGTCTGCCAGTGAGGTGACTCATAGAAGTTTCGCTCTGGTTACTGTGTGAAAAGATCTATAGATGAGCAGGATGGAAACGAGGAGGCCAGTTTGGAAACTATCGCAGTAGTCTGGGCAAGAGTTGATAGTTTTGGGGCCAGCATAGTGATAGTGGAGTGGCGAGTAGTGATCTGAAACTAGATATATTGAAAGGATAGAGCTGATAGGATTCACTGATTGAGCGTCTGGAAGAAATGGAAAAGCAAAAGATGGTTTCAGTGATGTGGGCCGAGCAACCGGTGGAATGAAGATGGCTTATGGAGAGAGGAAGATTGAGAATGAGAAGATTTGGGAAACATACAGCGTTCTTTTTTAAGAAAAAAAAAAAAAAGAATTCATTTTTGGATGAGGTAGTATGAAATGGTTATTCAACATCCAAGTAGAAATTGTGAATAGATGGTTGGATAAACAACTCTGGCATTCAGAGAAGAGGTCAGAACTGAACGTATAAATATGGAAGTCATAATTTTAGGGTGAGACTGAAACTTTGGGTCTGGATGGGACCCCCTAGGGGACGACTGCAGCTGTAAAAGACTAAAACTTGGACAGCTAATATTTAGATGTTGAGAAGAGGTGGAAGCAGCAGAAAGGACTAAGAAGAATAGCCAGTGGCACAGAATGAGAGCTAAGAGCACGGTATTCCTGAGGCCAAATGAAGAGCAATTTCAACAAGAGTGGTTGTCTGTGTCAAATGCAGCTGAGAGGTGGAGTAGAGAAATAACCACTAGAGTAGCTCGTATGATGGTCACTGATGATGTTGACAAGAACAATTTCTATGTATTGGTGGAGTCAAAAGCCTGATTGTAGTAGATTGAAAAATAGAATGGGAGGAAAGAAAGACAGGATGTCTCATACCTCTTTTAAGGGTTTTGCTGGCTTGGTGTGATGGCTCATGCTTGTACTCCCAGCACTTTGGGAGGCTGAGGCAGGTGGATCACTTGAGCCCAGGAGTTTGAGACCCAGCCCGAGTAACATGGCAAAATCCCATCTCTAAATTTTTGTAAAAATACAACAATTTAGCCAAGCATGGTGGCATGCATCTATAGTCCCAGCTACTTGGGAGACTGAGGTAGGAGAATCACCTGAGCCTGGGAAACCGAGGCTGCGGAGAGCTGTAATCACACTACTGCAGTCCAGAGTAAGACCCTGTCTCCAAAGGAAAGAAAAAAATGTTTTTTAGGGGAAAAAAAGGAGCAGAAAACTGGAAGTAGTAACTGATAGGGGATAGTCAAGCATGTTGAATACTGATAGGAATGATCCAGTAAAGAGAAAAACTGATCTGGCCGGGCGCAGTGGCTCAAGCCTGTAATCCAAGCACTTTGGGAGGCCGAGGCAGGTAGATCACGAGGTCAAGAGATTGAGACCATCCTGGTCAACATGGTGAAGCCCCATCTCTACTAAAAATGCAAAACGTTAGCTGAGCGTGGTGGCACGTGCCTGTAATCCCAGCTACTCAGGACGCTGAGGCAGGAGAATTGCCTGAACCCAGGAGGCGGAGGCAGAGGTTGCAGTGAGCCGAGATCGCACCATTGCACTCCAGCCTGGGTAACAAGAGCGAAACTCCGTCTCAAAAAAAAAGAGAAAAACTGATCAAATAAGAGTGATGTCCCTGAGTGAAGGAGGAGGGATCTAATACACGTAGAAGGACTGGCATAGACAGCTCATCCAAAACAAGCAGAAGGCACCAGATATAGACAGATGTGGTGGTGCGAACACATGGAAGATCTCTCCCAGTTGTTGCTATTTTCCAGGTGAAATAAAAAAGCAACGTCATCAGATGAGCTTGAAGAGAAAGAAGGGGGTTTTAGAGGTTTAAGGAGGGAATGGTACAGGATAATTGTGAGGGGAGTGGACAGTGAATTGACTAGAGAAACACGGTAACATTGGCAAGCAGCAATAAGGATCGCTTGAGATTTATCATCATTAGGCCAATTAGCATGATACTGTTGGGTAAGTGGGAAAGAGTTAGAGAATTACATTTTGCCACGGTTGAATTTTTGCCAGACGAGTACAATAAAGAGTGATTTTACTGGTCGTATCCCCAGTGTCTAGATAGGGGTAAATAAGACAGATAAGGTCCCTGCACTTACGGAGCTTAGATTCTACTGAAGAAGAAATACAAAGAAAGGGAGGAATAGAAATAAGTTATCAAGTAGTGTAGTGCTAATAAGATAGTAAGACAGGGTAATGAGATTGTGAGGCTGGGGCGCAGTTCTGGATAGAATGGATTGAAGGGAGTATCACCAAAAAGATGACATTGGAGCTAAGATCTGAATGATGAGAAGCCAGCTTTGTGAAAATGGAGAAAGAATGTTTAAGGCAGAGAGACAAGTGCGAAGACATTCAGGCAGGATTAGCAAGAGAGTAAGAGATTTTAAAAATGAGTAGGGGTACACTTAAAGAGGACTTGGCCACTAATCGAAAATAGGGCTGAAAGAGAGAGAGAGAGAGGAGTTGGAGTTGACTCCCCCTAGTTTCCGCCTTGGATAACTGGATGGCTGTGGATGCCATCACTGAGATGGAAAACATTGGAGACAAAAGCTGGCTTGAAGAAGGAAAGAGGAATTAACCTTTAGGGTGTGTTGGATTCGTATGAACAGTGCTGGACACACAGTACACACTCAATAAATGTTGAATGTTTGAATGAGGTGCCTGTGGAGCAATTCTAAAATCTAGGGCATATGACTGTTATAACTTTGAAGTATAGAGAGTGCATTTCACAGCTGGACAAACCAAGGCACAGAAAGTTTAGGAAACTGGTCCAATGTTTTCTGGCAAGTCAACACTAACTGCCAGAATAAAGTTTAGCCTCAACTCTTTTCTCACTCATTGTTCAGGTTTTACAATAATGATGCTCTTGTTAATTCTTGTTTTATTCCTCCACAGAATGGATACATCCTCTGGCAA